TGAGGCTAACACAAACGTCATTTTAAAAGGGGTTCAATCGTGCTTAATTAAGAATGCATCCGATATATGTAGCAGAAATGTAGCTATTCGGGATGGAATGATATGTTACTTATAAAGGAATTTTTTAAAATTATTCGAATGATGATTATGATAAGCCTTTTTTCCTGTGCCAAGAGGTGTAGTACTACAGATTCCCATGACTCCGCCCCTATTTATGGGGGCGGAGTCATATATAAAAAAAACACCTGGCTGACGAGCGCGCGGAGCACCTCTGCCCGTTCTAAAACTGGAAGAAAATGGGAAGTTCAAAGTTGATGTTGCACTGTATGGTGCAATATTAGTAACTTTGATGGTGTTAATGAGGATATTATTGCGCTAAGAACTTGTTTAAAAAAGTATTATACGCGGCGCGCGCGTGTATGTGTGCATATATGTATATAATATCATATTATATCACATACAGAAATGTGTACATACATAACATACCGTATATATACAGTATACACAACACACACATACATTTAAAACACATATGTATACACACCTGCAATATAAATATATGATATTGATATATATAGATAGATAGATAGATAGATAGATAGATAGATAGATGTGCATTTATGTATGTATACCGTATGTATATAAATACATATATATGCAGAAATATAATATTAAAAATATACACTACTACAATAACAATATAGAGTTTAAGGTTTATATGCTTTCGTATTAATTTTATGCGATATGTCATGTAAAGCTTGTTACTGTTTTTCTCATATCATTTATGCTTTAATTTTGGGCAATATTCAGGCCTCCAAAAGTGTTCCATGACGAATAATATACGGGGAAGTATCTCGTGTTTTATTGACAGAATGTGTTCGAATGGTTCAAAGAATATTAGGAAAATTTATATTAGGTTTTACATAATCATTTTACTTATGTATAATTGAATATGCAGACGTAAACTTATATACCCTTTTGAATGTAGTTGATATCAATCAATAATTAGTGTCATTTTCAAAATATTTAAAGAAGTGTGACCTTCGAAACCATTGTCGATGGACGAATGAAGAAGTATGATGGGAGGCGCTTCGGGCCCGCGCATTTTCAACTGATTTCGATAGTTTTCCGTCGTTTGATTTGTAATTTGAAGATGTTGATAACTAACAACATGTATTCCTTGTTATTTCCTAATGTTACATCAGTAAACCAGTGATTTGTTAATTGATACAATTCAAAAACAAAATCAGATTCGTCAACTCGAGTACAATTCCTAGGAATGGGGGTGGAGCCGCACATGTGGCAACGGCGTAGAAGCATCGGCAGAGTTGCTGTCGCGATCGGCCTGGAGAAGTGTCGCGAATGAAAAAAACGACACTTTCTAGTATAGTTAAACAGTTTCTTGGCACCGGAAAAAAAGGCCTAATGTTAGCAATGATGGTGGTGATGATGATTATGATAATGGTGATATTGATTGTATAGATATTGATAATGATAATAATAAAGATGATAATAAATGATAATGATATAATAATGTTAATGTACATGATAATGTTGATAATGATAATCAAAGAAATAAGAATAATCATAACAACACATAATGTGATAATTTAATAATAATAAATAATTCAGTTAAGGTTATTAATATCATCATTCAGAACCAACAAACAAAAACGAATTACAATGTGCATAGCGCCGAATCAGACAATGACAATAATAATGATATAAAGCAGACTATGCGCATAATCCTAGATAATACTATAACAACCAATAACAAAACCCAATAACACCCACAACACAAGGAAGTTTCTACCCAAGTCGTCACAATCCATGTATGTGAGTTCGGGAGAAACTCTGTTTCGCACATGAGGGTGGGGCAATAACAATATACCCTGTGGAACCTGACCTGCATAACATGGATTGGGGGGCTGAACCTCCGTAGCTAAGTGTGGAAGGGGGGTCGATTGGACTGGGGGGAGAGGAGGACGAGGGGAGAGCGAGGGAGAGGTATTATTGCTCTGTACGGTCTGTTGTGGTTGTATGTATAGTGTGGTTGTTGCGTTCTTGATCAGTAATTGTCTGTGGTTAACAGGGAGGGAGGAGGAGATGGTGGTGGACTTTAGGGTGGAGTTGAGGGTATTCGTGTTATTTTGGTTTTCCAAGGAGAGGAGGGGAAAGGGGAAGGGAGGGGGAGAGAGTAGGTGCAGAGAGGGAAGGAGGAGGGGGAGAAGGAGAGGATTGAGTCGAGGCGAGGAGAACGAAGGGAGAAAGAGATGGAGAAGGAGAAGAGGAGAGGCAGGATCGAGAGGGAGAGAGAGAGGAGAGGGAGAGAGAAGAGAAGAGAGAAAGTGGAGAGAGAGGAGATCAGAGAGAAAGAGAAGGAGAGAGAGACTAGAGAGGAGAGGAGAGAGTAGATGAGAGGACGTGAGTAGACGAGAGAGAGAGAGTAAGTACCGGTTGATATCCCTATAGTATATAGACCAGTATGAATTGGGAAAGGAAAGGGATTCCTACAATGTAGTCCCTCATCGGAATATATTTATATATTCAGCGAGTTATGTTGTTCAGATCACCAATATTATCTACTTGCAGCATTGTCCCTATCATTACCGCACTGATAATCAAATAAATGTGGTGACATTATAAATTAGCGTGATATATACAGGGATTCAATATAGATATGCAACAACCTAGGATACCTTGCTGTGCACAAAAATAGTCGAGACTATCTACTTATTTATTTACAGCGGTATTTCTTATTATGAGCCAACAAGAGCGTAAGGCCATGTTAAGGAACATACTTACATATCATCTCGCGCTATTTGTGAAGTCTGTGGGACTAAGAGGCTGGCCTGGCACGTCGAGATCCATCTGGAAGGAAAAGGGTTATCTTCACTTCCGTTGAATAAATGATAATGGTAAATAGAAGGTCATTAAAGAGGAAAGAAATTAAGAATTCACCTTCGAAAAGAAGTATGTTTATGATGAAGAGAAGGAAATATTTAAATATTTATCTTCACCATTGTAAAATAAAATGTATATATATGAAACAGACAGATCATTTTGCGTGGTAATCGTTATACTGAATGATCTGGCGATATAATATACTTCAAAAATAGTTAAATTTACAATGCCAACAGCTGCTGTGAGAATAAGTTACACGTGATTTCATAAATGATGGTCGTGATGGACAGTCGGGGAGTAATTAAGTAAATAAGTTTTCTTTTGTCAATAAAGGTTTATATGTTAGTAAGAGTAATGAGTAGTTTACCGATAATTTAAGTAATGTTTTCTTTTACTGTCAATAATTTAGTAATTTAGGATATTAGTTAGTACCGATTTTAAGTTAATGTTTCATTTTGACTGTCAAATAATTGGGAAGTAAAGGTGTGAGAGTGGAATTTGTCGAAGTTACCGATTTTGCAAGGATCTCTCGACTGTGCGCGTATATTTCTGATGCAATAGTAAGTGGAATAATATAGTATAGATGATTAGAAGCAAGAATTAGTGCAAAAAAAAAGAAAAAAAAAAAAGTAAAAATTCGAAGCAGCGCCTCTTCCTGGAGTGTTTCGTGTCGCACATTTTTCGAATTACAAGGACACGTGACCGGATCCGTTGACGGAAATTTCACCGTGACATCTTGCAGTTCTCAAGGCACACGCGAGGCATCGAACAAAGCCACAGAATAATACATGCGAGAGAGGACAGTATGTGTTAACTATACATATGAAACTACGCACACACACACACACACTCACACAGACACGACAACACACACACACACACCACACTGACCCACAACCACACACACTGACACAGCTGACCCAACACCACACACACAGCACCACACAGGCACAGTGAATACACCACACACAGAGGAGACGCCACGATGCATACTATACACACACAGCGAAGCCGACAAACACACACGACCAGCACAACACAGTGATTACACAGCACACAGAGAACGCGGAGCAGACAGTCGATACAGTACACACACAGCCAAACAGCGACACACACACGATGACACCGACCCCACCCCCGCAACGAACACACACACACACATGGGGAAAGGCCGAGCCAAAACCGAATCGGGTTTTCCTGAGGGGAGGATACCGGATGTGGTATAGCTGAAGTCCAGCATGAAGTTGAAGTCGAATGTGGATCTGGAGCGTTTGGGTCGGACGCCTTTCATCTTCGGCCGTCACACACGAACCAATCACGCGAAGACCGACCACACGCCGTGCCACGCCCACATGGGTTATCTTGTGGGTGCGGATGAGAGATGAGAAAAAGAGGAAAAAGAAAGAAAAAAAAAAAAAATGAAAAAAGTGGCGTATTTTTTTCCTGTGTGGGCAAACGACGAAGACACACTCGATACATAGGCACGTGTTATAGTAATATGTACCTAGTGTGTGGTGGAGTGTATGTGTGATGTGGTGTAGTCGAGATGTGAGTGGTGTGTGTGGGAGAAGAGAGGAAAGAGAGAGTGAGTTGGAGAACAGAGATAGAAGAGAGAACTGACAGCAGAGAGAAGGGAAAGAGAGAGAACAGAGAAAGGGAGAAAGAGGAGAGAAAGAAAGAGACAAAAAAACAGAATAGTTAGAGAGACAGAGACGGAAGAAAATTGAGGAGGAGGAATGAAGAGAGAAAATGAGAGAAGAGAAAGCTTTCATATGTTATAAATATAAAACCTTCTACTTTATCACGCTATTCCCCAATATTCAGTGCAAAAATGGAACAAAAAAGGAGTCGGCTTGACCCACGCGATAACACTATACTTTTCCCTTATTTTATTCTTTTTATTCATATATTCACTATATTAATTTTTGTTGGTGTTTATTCTTTTTATTATATTACTATTTAATTATTTTTGTTTATTTAATCTTTGATTATATTCTATCATTAATACTCTTTTGTTTATTTATTTCCTGTTTATTTATCATACTAATTTATTATTTTGGTTTATTTTCTTCTTCTTGTATATATATTACCCTATT